GAAGGAGCCATGCTGGGCTGGGGCTGGGCTCTCACACTTACCCTGTGCAGAGCTGACACAGTCTGAAAGGACGAGCCTTTTTTGGCCTTGCCTTTGCCCTTATCAACAGCTGTGGGAAGGAGAATCAAGAAAAGGGGCATAAGTGGGTGTGTGGGGAGGTCAGGGCATGGCTGAAGAGTTATAGCCTCCAGTTCACATCCTTGATGGCATCTGGCCTCCAGGGGAGGGTTTTCACTGTGGTTGCCTCAGTTTCTCCATCCAATTCTATCTCAATGAGCCTGTAAACCTTGGGCACAGCCTGACATGGAAATGGTGGGGTGTTGCAATTGACCTGCATCAGATGCAGGGCAGAAACCTTCTTTCTTAGCCCCCTGGTTCCCAGTCTCTACTTACGTGTATCAGCCCCAGCATAATTGGCAAACAAGTTGCTGAGCAGCTTGAGGGATGACTTCTGGTACAGGCCCACCACCGTCTCATTGAGTGGGTCTTTGTTCTTCTGCAGCCAGCCTATGATGTTGTAGTCCACAGTGCCAGCATAGTGGATCAGGGAGAAGTGAGCTTCCTGCTTCCCCTTGACATTGCGTGGCTTCTGGAAGTTGTTGGACTTGCCCAGGTGGTTGTCATACAGCTTGGCTTTGAAGGTCATGTCAGTGGCCTTGGGGAACATGCATTCTTCCTCCAGGATGGACATGATGCCCATGGGCTGAGGGTGGAGGGGAGAGCATCACTGAGAATGCCTCATACAGATGGAGACAGATCCTGCTCTAGGGTCAATATTTGCCTATGGAGATGCCCCTTTGGGCATTAAGGTATTAGGCTCAGATTTGAATACAGTTACCTACTGACTGACAGCTGTTTAAGCCTTCCCAAAGTGGAAGATTTTTATTTCAGAGGGACCTTTGTGCAAGTCTGGGAATGCGGATGCCATAGGTGCTTTACATATCACTCATCACCCAGATCCCTGAGATGGTGGGGTTGAAAATAGGGGCACTCTTACAATTCCCCACCACCACCCTCAAACTTTCTGCTCCTTGGATGGGTAAGACAGGGTGACTAACCACACTGGTGTGGGAGGCTGTCTTGGTGGTGCCTGTCCTCTGTCTGTCTACTCTCAAGCCCCTGGGAACTCAGCTTTTCCAGATGTCACCCTGTACTGGGTGGCTGGGACAACACAGAGCTCTGGAAACTAGGGCTCCAGATTCTTCTGTTATCCAGATTCTGCTCCTCAGAAGAGATGGGGATGCTATTTTGACTGGGGCATTCAGATGAGTGTGAGTGGAGAGTTTAGGTGAGGCTAAGGCAGCACCTTCTCGATGAGGTCGATGCAGGCCTGCAGGTCCATGCCGAAGTCGATAAACTCCCACTCGATGCCCTCCTTCTTATACTCCTCCTGCTCCAGCACGAACATGTGGTGGTTGAAGAACTGCTGCAGCTTCTCGTTGGTGAAGTTGATGCAGAGCTGCTCAAAGCTGTTGAACTGCAGGGGGAATGAGGGTGGAGCCAGGTCAGGTAGGCAGGTGTCTGAGTGGCCAGTGGGCTCAGCTCAGGGCTGTGTCCAGCCCCATGAAGTGTGTGGCTGGTCTTCTTCCCTATCAGAGCCGGGAGGGAATGCCCCCAAAGGCAGGATGGTGACTGCCTCCATCACTGCTGAAGCCCACTGCCTTCCTGGCACTGGCTGATGGCCATCCTGTTACATGTGCCAATGAGTGCATTATTGTTCTCCCTACTCCCCACTCACATCGAAGATCTCGAAGCCAGCAATGTCCAGGACACCAATGAAGTACTGGCGTGGCTGCTTGGTCTCCAGACTGGCGTTGATCCGAGTCACCATCCAGTTGAACATCTTTTCATACACTGCCTTGGCCAGTGCCCCAATGGCATATGCCACCTGGAAGGTAGGGGAGAGACCCAGGTGAGCAGATTCACTGGGAAGAGTGAATTTCAAAGCCCCCACTGCGCCATGCAAGTTTTCACCACCATTTCTTTTCTGAAGATGACCCACCTGCTGGACATTCTGCCCCTTGGTGACATATTCATTGCCCACTTTCACCCGAGGGTGGCACAACCCCTTGAGCAGGTCAGCTGAGTTCAACCCCATGAGGTAGGCAGACTTATCAGCCTCTAGAAGGAAAGGGCAGGTGGCAAAGTTGATAAAGAGGTAACTCCCCTGCAGAGGCAGCCTTCAGTGACTCTGCAGCTGCTCCTAGCATCCCAGACTCCCACCTTCAGTGCCGTCTGGCTCAGCTTGCTCCTCCCGCTGCTTCTGTTTGAACTTCATGTTTCCGAAGTGCATGATGGCGCCTGTCAGCTTGTAAATGGAGCTCTTCTCCTCTGGAGTGAAGCCCAGCACATCAAAGGCATTCTGTAATAAGGCCCCATATTGGTGGATCACAGGAAAGGAAATATGGCAGGTAAGAGAGATCTCTTTTCAGTTGGAGAGAAAACTCTGTGAGTTCTGAGATTCCCATACCCAGTGGTGACTCCAAAACAAAGATGAGAGGTATCAACACAGAGGGCAGACTGCCTCGGCCCCAGCTTCAGGGGTCACATCTGTCCTCTGGGGAACCTCTGGGTTACCCACGCATGTTTCCTACTGTTTCTCCTTCTCTAAGCCCCACACTTGCTTCCCTGCCTGGACCTTCCATATCTGTCCCTAGCTGGTGTTTGCCTAACAGCTTGCCCAGCTCATGGAATCATCAGGACCCTTTCTTCCCTCCTTTCCTTAGTGATGCCTTATTTCTTGGCTTGTCTGCTTCTCTGTCCCATGGCTTTCAGTCCTCTCTGGTTTGATTGAACATCAAATACCTGCCAGCCCTGTCTCATCACACCCATACCCTAGCACAACCCTGACCATAGGGACATGCTGTCTTTTAGGGAGGTCTATACCACTATGAACAACACACAGCCACTATTACTGGGCCAGCAGAATGCCCATTTGCCCCTTACCACCAATACCCTCACCTCTGGACTGGGTCATTACACACTTACATCAGTGGCCATGAGCTCCTCAGAGTCATCAATTGAAGCCACAGTGGTCTCTCCTTGGGAGATGAATGCATAATCATAGGGGTTGTTGGTGATCAGCAGCATGTCTACGGGAAGAAGATGTGGTTAGGATGTGGCACAAACCCCTGGCTCTCACTGGGCAGCTTGCCACAGCACAGGGCCTGTAGAGGAGCACAAAACAGGGCTTAATGTGGCTCCACAGCCCCCAGATCTGAATACAGAGTACCCTAAACCCAGTGCATGCCAACAAGCAGCAGCAAACAGAAGGGACCAGGTTGCCATGGAGATAGTTGGTCTCTGTTGGTAGCTCTGACTCACCCAGAAGCTCAGGTTTTTTATTAGACAGGATTTGGTAGAAAATATGATAATCTCTCTCTGATTTCAGCTGGAAAATAACTCTGGATTTTTCCAGAAGGTCTGTAAACAGTAGGGGAGAAGAAAGAGAGAAAGAAAAGGTTGTTGGATTTAGGTACAAGGAAGCAGAAATGAATGATAAATGTAGCAAGCAAAAGGCAGAGGGAGAGGAGGAGAGAAAGAGTGAGAGACTCATACACAGATACACAGAGGTAGGGATGGAGGCAAAGTCCCAGCAGGATAGATTTAGTCTCAGAGAAAGACACAGACCTGCAGAGACAGCGATGGAGAAAAACCAGAGGAAGTCTCAGAGAGAGATGGATATACAGACCTAATGCCACAGACACATTGAGATAGAGGGAGAGAGACTGAGGTCTGGAGACCCAGAGAAAGGCGAGAGAGAGAGAGAGAGAAATGGATAGAACAAAAATGAGCTGAGGCTGAGCCCTAGAAGACTCATGGCACTCACAGGTCTCTATGTCAGCAGATGCCAACTTTCCAGTTGCCCCAAAATGGATTCGAATGAATTTTCCCTGGAGAGATGGAGGATTAATGAGTTAAGGGAAAGCTCATATTTGATGCCATCTCTTGACCAGCCCAAATCCCAAGTCCAAGGTCAGGGATCACTTACAAAACGGGAGGAGTTGTCATTCCTGACAGTCTTGGCGTTGCCGAAGGCCTCCAGAGCAGGGTTGGCCTGGATGATCTGGTCCTCCAGGGTGCCCTGCAGAGGTCAGGAAGATGGCAGGTGAGAGGGTTCTCTTCCCTTTTTGCAGCATGGGACTTTGGGGGATAATAGGCCTACCTTGCTTGGGTTCTGGTCCTTCTTGCTGCGGTCCCCAATGGCAGCGATAACAGCAAAGTACTGAATGACCCTCTTGGTGTTAACTGTCTTCCCGGCGCCGGATTCTCCGCTGTCAGGACATTCAGGGGCTCATTAGGCAGTGCATAAACACTGCTTGAGGACAACAAGCCTGGTCCTACTCAACAGTGGGAACCCTGTTGCCGGCAGCTGACAGGTACTAAGTACCCCAAACATAGCTGTACTCTGACATACACAGGGTCAGGGGTAGCAACCAGAAAGATGGCACAAGAAGGTGCTGGGTTTGGGCAGCTGGAACCTAGTTTTAGTTGGGCAAAGTCAACCAGAAGAGATGGGCCTGGGACATTTTGAATAAGAATGGTTGGGACTGGAAGAATAGGGAAGGTTTCTGAAAGAAATGTGGGAGAAAAAGAAGAGTTGAAGAAAACATGGTGATACTGAGCTTAGGGATAAATGATAAGTGGGAGGACACTGGGTGAAGGAGATTGGAGAGGGAAAATAAGAGAGGGAAGGGGGAGAGCAAAGAGAAGGTAAGAGGAAAGGAAGGAGAAGGAAAAGGAGCTGGTGTGAAGGTGGAAGGAAAAGAGTGGGCTATGCACAGGGCTTGAGGGCACTGATGGAGCTGGGGGTCTTGATGGGGCTGGGGTCAGGGAGATTCTGGAAGGGAACTGGGTAGGAGCCACACTCACGTAATCAGGATGGACTGGTTTTCTCTGTCTGTGAGGAGGAAATGGGGAGGGAAAGTCAGGAGCCACGTAGGATGATGCTCTTGTTTGGTATCCCCCCACCCATCTCCCCACCCTCTGCCCTTCTCCAGGCCTGTCCCGGCTGCCAAACCCCTCAGGAGGAGGAAGAGAGCCATCATGTGCATCTCTTACTGTGGAGCCCCCAGAAAAACCCTTCACTTGGGGCCTGTCACCTGTCAGCATGTACTGATAGGCATTGTCAGAGATGGAGAAGATGTGGGGCGGCGCCTCGCTCCTCTTCTTGCCCCGGTAGGCAGCCACCACCTCGGCGTTGTACACCGGCAGCCACTTGTAGGGGTTGATGGTGACGCAGAAGAGGCCGGAGTAGGTCTAGGGGTAGAAAAAGAGGAGTGAATTGCCAGTGGGAAGGATGGCATTAGAGTTAGAGAAAGATCCCAAAAAAGGAAGAAGAGAAAGGAAAATCTATGAATACACTAAATCTAAGTAATGCCAGCACCCAGGGTATTAGAACTGACCCAAGAATGTAGGAACTAGGACAGAGTGCAAGACTGCATGAGCACACAGAATAGAAACTCTTGGCTCCAGAAGGTAGATACACACAGACCAGGAAGCTACCAGATTCAGAGGGATGTCATAGGTGGAGCGCTCACATAGATCATCCAGGATGCATAACGCTCCTTGAGGTTGTAGAGCACAGCGGGCTCGTGCAGAAAAGTCAGCATGGCCATGTCCTCAATCTTGTCAAACTTGGGCGGGTTCTGCTGCAACACCTGGTCTTCCTTCACGGTCACCGTCTGCAACAGCCCACACGCAGAGCCACTGTCAGCCCTCCCTCAGCAGGGATAGGAGGCGGGAGAGTGACAGGACAACAGTGTTTGAGAGAGAAGGACCCAGGATCACAGAGAAGATAACACTAGATATTGGGAATGAGAAGGGCTATTTGGAGGATCTGGATCCCTACCTAGAGGAAGGAAGAATTAGACCTTCCTTAGGTCTGTGTGGGGTGGACCCTGGTGGCACACATCTCTGTCCACACAAGGTATGGGGTTTGTCCAGGGTGGCTTCTTGTACTAGCCCTGCCACCCACCTTGCCATTCTCGGTCTCAGCAGTGACTTTGCCACCCTCTCGAGACACAATCTTGGCCTTGACAAACTCTTCCTTGTCATCAGGCACGAAGACATCCTTCTTGAGGTCAAAGGGCCTGGTCTGGGCTTCTAGCCGCTCCTTCTCTGACTTGCGCAGGAAGGGGGCGGCAGCCCCAAACGCTGCCATCTCTGCATCACCCATGGCTGCGCCTGCAGTGGGCGAGAGAAGGAGCTGGTTCTCCTCCCCTCTGCTCTCCTGTACACTGGAAGCCCCAATGTCTAGCACCATGCTGAGGAGTCAGGAGGGGTCACTGACAAGTCCCTTGTCCCTTGAACTTATCCCTTAACCTGAGACTGCCTCAAAAATTTGTCTGGGCAGAAGGGGAGGCTGACTTTTGTTCAGCCTGGGGCTCTCCTGGAAAAGGGAGGAGTGTCCTAGGCTTCTCGTGGGAGCAAGAATTTGACTGTATCCATCTCTGACCCTTGTCCTCCCCCGGCCCCCTCACTAGTCACAAGTAAGGACTCCTGCTCACCAAGACATTCTCCCCAAGGCCATGCAGAAACTAGAGTTCCTCATCTCCCCCGATCCACCCCCACACCCCATCTGCAGCTTTCCTTACCTTGGCTTCTCAAAAATGTCTGAGAGGAAAGTGTCTCAAACCTGCAGGGGACCTGGAGAGAGTGAAGGCTGTATTGGGGCCACCTCCCTGCTGCTCCCTGGCTCTGCCCTTCAGCACCTACCCACTCCTCCCCTAGGGATGCAAATAGATAGGAAGAGGTAGTCAGCTTCCTTGGTCCTGTCCTCTCTTGCTTTCCAAGCACACTGTTCCTCTAATCCCCTGAACACTAATTCTGATTTCCTGACATCAACTCAGCCCTGAGCCCTGGTCCCCCTTCCTGCTCCTGGGAGGTGGTCCCACTCTTGCCTATACCCATCTACTGAAACTTGCTTTCCTTGAGGCACCTGATGAACAACAAATGCTCACATTTGTTCAGAGTTGTATAGCCTCCAAAGCATTTTATGCACATTCTCTTAGTCAATCCTCACCCCATTCTACAGACGGGGAGATCAAGATTATAGGGTTTGCTTGTCTAAGAATACATAGCAATAAGCGGTGGAGCCAGGATTTGAACCCTAGTCTTATGACTCAAAAGCCGGTTCTCTTCCACCCTGTCAGTCTTTGTGGATACTTTCAGAGGGGAGTCCCTGTGGGCATCCTCTCATAGACACACCTATCACACAACGAAACTTGTTCCACACATCCTTTAATAAACATGTGTGCCCGCCGCTCACGTCTCACCCAGACACACTCCTTTTCTTCACATACCTCGGCACACACCCCCTTCCAGTGTGCCCTTATGCCTCAGTAATAGATGTGCCCTTAAATATATGCACAGCATAAATAGGCTCACACGCTATACACTGTCAAGTATACAGAGACCTGGAACAGCCGCACTACCTGCCGGCAAACTCCTTTTGCAGGGTGTACACACACTGCAGCAGTTGTGACTCCTGGATGCGCACACAAGTGTCTCCATGTTTGTGGACATGGGTAGTTACACATTGGAAACCTCACATTTCCTAAGTGATCGTTCTCTGCCATCCTCTTCCCCTGTGCCTACCGCAGAATGAGGCCACTTGTCCTCAGGCATGATCATAAACACCTGTCTCCTGCTTGATATTTTTGTATCTTAGGTAGTAAGGTATATACTCCCCCTCACCATGTGTCAGATCATGCATGAATGTACACACACCACATACACATGCACACCCCTCTATTGAATTCTGGTCTCATCTGCATGGATACAGACATCCCCCAGTAATACATGAACCCCCCACTCCCCCCATGGCACATACACATGTTTAGACCTAAACATGTGTGCTCAGTTACCAGACCCAGTATTCTGCATGAAGCCCTGCTTGCAGCTTGCTATTCCTAGAGAAGCCCTTTTCTAAACCTGGGGCCTCTTATCCCAGAGGAAGGCTTCCAGCTCCGCGCTCCTACCTGAGAGCAGAAAGAACGGAGTGCCGGGCAGAGCTGTGGAGCCTGACCTGGTTAGGGGCTGTATATATGGGGCAGCAGGGCGCCCCCACCCCCACCTGCGCCCAGTCCCCAGCCGGATTTAGAAAGGACTGTTGTCACTAGAAGCATTTCCCCCAGCCCCCCCCTTTCTAACAGCACTCCCCTCCCCCTTTCCAGTGAGGAAACAATTGGAAGTGGTCGTCATTGTTATGGCATGGAGTGTGCAGGGTCTGAGTTCCATGGGGCGGGGATGGCTCTAAGAGCAGCCAAAATATCTCCCAGGCCTCACATTCCACAGCTGGCAGGAGAGGGAACTGACCACAACCGACCACCAGTGACCTCAGGCAGGCAGGGCTCTGACTCTCCCCCAGGGATCCCCTGGACCCTAACACTGCTGCTCCTCAGCCCCCTGCCCCAAGCGCTGGCCTGGCCCCTTGCACAGTGTCCTCCCTGCTCACTGGCTTGGATCCTGCATCCAACTTTGCAATGGGAGGGGGCTGAGTGTCAGCAGCAGAAGGTAGGGTAGAGCCGGGGGGCCTGTCCCGAAGGTGGGGGCTAGACCGAGGCAGCTGAAGGTTTCCTGGCCAAGTGACAAGAACAATGACCAGAAAACTTAGAGATGAGGACTCTGGCTTGGGTACTAATTTCCTTGGACCAACCAGGTGATATTGAGGTCACTGAGCCTCAGAGCCAGATAGGAATTAGTGATGGGTCCAAGCCCTTTATTTTATGGAGAGGGGAAGTACCTTCTTTAAGGTCGAGCAGCCAGTCAAGGCAGCAAGATTCAAGAGTGGGAAGAAAACTCAGCAAGTGGGAGGAGAGCCCAGCCTGTGGAGGCAGGCTGGGAAAGAGGGCTAGGAGTCTAAGGACACAAGGACCCAATGTGTGCAGAAGGCAGGGTCTGGCTATCAGATGGTCCTGCCAGATGGAGCCTTTGCCTGACTCCTTTTCTTAGCTCTGCCCACAGGTACTTAATGCTTAGCCCAGAGCCAGACACTCTGGAGCCACAGGTAACACAGCTCCTGCAGCAGAAGACCCTTAACCAAGACAGCCATTGCCTGGCCCACCCAACTTCTTGTGTTCCGTGGGACGGTCTCTATCCAGACCTGGTGAGACTGGTGCTCTGGCAAGTGGGGCACAGAGACAGCAAAGATCTCTCCCTTTCCTGCAGGCCTTAGGAGCAGTCAGAGTCAGCGAGGAAAAGGAGCTGGGGCTCAGCCTGTGAGCACAGGACACAGCCAATGCCAAGCTCTTCCAGCAAGGAGGGGAGACGGAGCTGAGTTCGCAAGCTTCGCTGGCTCTGTGTCCAGGCAACCGCTGCCTAGTTTGGTTTCGAATCCCCCTCTTTTCCAGCCACAGCTCTTCAGCACATGCGGGTTAACCCATCTGATTAGCTGACAGCTTGGAAGGACAGTAGCAAGCTTCAGGGATGGAGGCAGAGTAGGCACACTTTGAAGGTGGGGTGGGAACAGCAGGGAAGGGGAAATCTAGGTTGGGGGGCCTGAGTCGGGGTTGCTTGGTAACCAAAGAACAGCCTGGGGTCATTGAGCAGCTGTAGGGAAAGGGGGCGGGCAAGTGGGGGTAGACCATGAATGCAAGGGTCTTGCTCAGTGCAGCCTCAGCTATACAGCTGCTGGCACGGGGCCCATAGGCTGACTGCTAACAGGTCCAGCAGAACAAACTCTAGGGCCCAATGAGGCCCTGCTAATGATGGGAATTAAGCCCACTGGTAGGGACCCAAGGGGTTGGCAATGAAGGGCAAAATCTTTCTTTATTTTTAGAGGTTAATTACTTTTTTATTGTTGAATTATATTGTAAAGCCTACATCTACAGTCTAATCAGGAAGAAATGCTTCAGCAAAATCTCTTTTCATTCACCCATTCCAGGTTTCCAAGATCAAAGCTGCCACCCTTCTCTGATTTTCCAGGGCTCAGGCACAGAAGCCGGCAATTGAGATGCACCGAGTATACTTGAGGCATGGCAGAGCCATTTCAAAGCCAGTATCTTCACCATGGGCCAGCCTCCATGGCCATGGAGCTGGGAAACCTTTCCTGTGTTTAGTAAATCAACTGTGCTTTGTTTTCCTCCTGATGGGCTTGGGGGCACTGGCTACTGGTATTACAGTATTACTATTCTCCACACCCCATTGCAGAATAGAACTTGGCTTCCCTGCCTCGAGGCTCTCCGCCTCAGATCTCCAGTCTGGAGAGAGTGGAGTGTCTGATGTCCTTAAACATCCCCACTCATCCCGCAACCCTCTGGCACCTGCTTTTGGCTCCATCATGATTCTCTTCCTTCTGCTCACTATTATATGAACTGAGAAGCTTTGCTGATTCCTTCATTCAGTCAGTATTTATTGAGTGCCTACTATGTGCTAGGCATTGTTCTAGGCAATAAGAATCGAATACTGACCAAATAAAGACCCTTCTTCTAGGCAGCTCTAGTTACCTAACTGTTTACAGAATTGAAATCCAAGCCTGAGCTTACAGCTAGTGCCTTTGCTCACAGCACATGCCTGGTCGGGGGAATGAGGGGCCAGGGGCCCCACTGGGTGAGGTTGGGTGGGGATCTCACAGAGTGTACTGCAGAGTGATAGCAGACAAGACAAAGGAGAGCAGAGCAAAATGCTATAAATAAAGAGGGACTGGAGGAAGGCTCCCTCTCCAAGGTAGACCAAATAAGGCCTTGAGTGGAAGGAAGGTGATCTGCCTCCCCCACCCCTCCCTCTTCTCCCCTCACCTCTCCCCCTTTCCCTCCCCTCCTCTCTCCACATTGTGTCTGCTTTGTCTGGGCTCTGTCACCACCCCGATCAAGTGTCAGGCCCAAACAGGGGCCATTTGCTGTGAACATGCCAGTGGAAGTTCAGAGGAAAAGTTGCTAAAATTACTACCAGGAATGGGGGGAGGAGAGGTGCACTAAGGCAAATTAGAGGAGACCCCAGAATGGAAAGAAGCCCCCAAATTCAAAGGGATGGGAACAGGAGACGGGTAAAAAGAAGCAGGGTCCTGGCCCAAGAAGAGAAATGAGGCACCAGCTGTCTGTGCACACGGGAGAAGGGACCCACCCGGGAGTGGGCTGGGCACTCCTATCCGCCTGCTCCCAGGATCCCTGACCTTGGGGAGATCTCGACCCTGGCTCCAGTGAACCTGAGATTAGGGCTTGAGCTTTGTGCTTGTCTCAGGTTTCCCTTTACAAACAGCTGTTCCTTCTTGTCATTCCTTTGTCTTCCTGCTGGCTCCACCGTCTTTTGTATCCTTCTGCACCCTGCCCTCACTCCCTAGTCCAGAGTCTCTGCTTTCTGATAGACAGTGGACAGCTGGAAAGGTGGGGGTAGGGCCTGGGCCTGGCTTAGTTTTGTTTGGAGTGTTTGGGAAGATGAGTCTTACCATTAGAGAGTGTTTGGTTGAGCAGAACTTACCCAAAAGGAGGCTTTGTGGACTTGGCCAGTCTGGATCCAGGGCTGGAGGCCTCAGAGGACTTTGGGGTCAGTCACAAAGATTCACTCCATTTTCCAGCTGTGAGGTGGAGGTCAGTCACAGAACCTCCCCGCATCAGTTTTGTCATCTATAACATGGGGACAGCCACATTTCCCTTCTAGGGCTATAAAGACCTCTAGAGTTTATATAGGCAGAGGGTCCAGCACAGCCCAGACACACAGGAGGCCCTCACTCAGTGGCAGCTTTTATTGTCAGGAACACAGCCCTCACTGTAGGTGGGAAGGGCAGTTACACAGCCGTCAGTTCTCTGCCCCACATCTCCCTCAGCTCCACTAAATGGGATGGTTTGGGCCAGGGCAGAGGAGAGATTCAGCAATCCTGGTCTCTTGCTCCCAGATTGTGGCTGCTCTTGGGAATATCGTGACCAGGAGGCCAAGTCTTCAGGCTCTCCCAGGCTCAGTCTAAGCCCACAGCCCAGCCCTGAGGCCGGGAGAGGCAGCACTGTCTGTGTGTGGGTTGTGGGCTAGCCCTCAGGACAGACCAGTGTGCTGAGCAGAGGTCCACCCAGAGTTAAGTCCAGGCTAAGTGGTGACCAAGGACAAGTGGTGGCCATTGGCCAAGGACATCTGACAGAAGCAGAGGCCCCAAGGTAAAGGCTGCTTGATGATTAGAGCCAACCATCAGCTAGATTTTTGTGTAAGTCCTAGCTAAAGATCTTAGGGATTCTGAGTGCAGTTGCCTGGGAGAGCTGGGCTGGCCTTAGGAAGTGGCAGTTGGGTAGGGAGGGAGAAGAAGATTAAACTGAGGCCCTCAGAGATGGGAAGCACCCCGGGCTGGAGCTGGACTTCATATGCAGAGGGGCTAGCAACTTCTGGGTATTGCCAGGGTACTGTGATGTGAAATAATTGGACAAACTGAAAAACAGCATTCCGGAGTCATTTGCTGGAGCCCTGTACACTGCTGTGTCTGTTGGGCTCCAGTTGGGGATCCAGCACAGGCCCCTGTTCCTCCACCCCAGGGCCTGCTCACAGGCATCCCCGTGGTTGCTGGGCCTGGAGCAGCCCAGGCTGGGGAGACAGCATGGGATTTACTAGGAGTGAATGATAATTGCTCAGTGTGGAGAAAAGAGGTGGAGTAATCAGCAGCACCCTTCCCAAGGAGAGAAGAAATTCCATACTTCATTCCTTTCTTTAGAAGCCCACTTCCTTAAGTAGGCTTCCCTGGGGCCATCACTGGTCTCCCTGCCTCTACCCCCACCATAAATGCAGTGAGCACACACAAGTGCACATGCCTGCACATGTATGCACGTGTGCATATGTATACATCTCTGCACAAAGACCTATAACACACAGTATCCACTATCTTCTGTACTAGTTTTAAGACAGAGCAATGGTGCTTGACCAACTTGCTAGGAGTGCCCCCCTCCTAGTGTCCAGCCTATCTCATTCTTCCTTCTACCACCCAGCTGTGTCCCAGTCAGCCACTCAGAGGCTTTGCTGACCCTTCTGTATGCCCAGCTCTGTGGGGGCCACAGGAGGATCCCATGGCCTCTGATTCATAGACCTTTCCATCAGCTCAGAAAGCCACAAGTACCATACTGGAAAATAAAGGAAGATGGTTCAGGGCTACTCAGTATAGTCCACATCCAGAACAACCCAAAGGCAGAGAAGCTCTTTTTCAGTGTGGGCTGAGACAGTCAAAGCTTTCTAGGTGGGCACCTGCACTGGAGCTTGATGGGAGGAGGGTAGGGCTTTCAGAAGCACTGGGAATGGGAATGTGGTCTAGGTGGTCAGAGTCAAAGCATGACCAAAGGCATGGCAGGGAATGGCATACTGAGGCAGTAAGCACCCAAGGGGCATATTCCTGGTTGGACTATGGGGGTCTGGAGATTTCAGGTGGGGCCACATTGTAGAAGAGGGGAAAGTGCTGTCATGCATGGAGAGCCTGCCTGTGCCAGGTACCACACATATTATTGCCCTTAATGCTCACTTCTGCCCATCAATTAAATTGGATTTTATGGTTGACAACAGGGTCCAGGGAGGCTAGGATGTTTTTTCAAGGTCAAGCAGTAAGTGTGGTGCTGGGATTCAAACCCAGGTCTGACCTTGCTCCAAGGTGCTTTCTATTGACACTACCATGAAAATCACTGTGATGTTGTGACAGTAGAGTTTGAGGGGCCTCACAGGAGTATTATTGGGTGCTTTTAAGATAAAGAGGCTAGAGGCAGGGAGACTCAAGAAGAGGACAGAGTAGCAGTCAAGGTCAGGAGAGGGTGTGGCTAGCAAACATGAAGAGAAAAGGGCAAAGCTGGAAGGATTTCTAAAGATGAAAAGAACGTCTTGCTGACAGACTTGACACGGGATATGAAGAAGGAAGACTCATAACTGCATGATGTTTGGCAAGGGCAGGGAGAACAGCAAAAGGGAACCAGCTCTTAAGCAGACAGGAGGAAGGGCTGTTTAGCTGGGGTGGTTAGCAGTAACAGTGGGGCATCTATGGAAGATACTTTGCATCCCTGTAGGAAGTTGGAAGTATGGGACTGGTAGGCAGGCTGCTGAATGAGACTGTGCTTGAGGAATAGTTCAAGAAGCCATAAGACTGACGGGAAGAGGAAAAACACTAGGAGATATCCACGGTACCAAGATGGAAGCAGGAAGAGAAGCTTGCAGAGAATGGAGAAGGTGACCAAAGAGAGCCAGGGAACATGAGAAAAGGGCAGTTTCCTAGAAGTCAGAAGTGTTTCAAGAGGAACAGGTGGCTGTAGTGTCAGATGCCAAGGAAAGACTTAGTGTCAGATGCCAAGGAAAGACTTGGTGTCAGAGAGATGGAGAAGAGGAACTTGAATGATCTTGGAGTAAGTGCCTTCTGTAGAGTCACAGGGCAGAGCCAGGCTGCAGTGAGGTACTAAGAAAAGGATGAATGAACAGGAAGTGGAGGCAGTGGTTGTAAACTATGCATCTGAGGAACTTGGCAGTGAAATGAAAGAGATTAAACAGCAAGTAAAAGGGGAAGAGGGCCAAGTAACACTGTTTTGCTTTTAAGACCAGGCAATCCCGAACACATGAAGAGGGGGTGAAAAAGATGCCGTTATTTTTTTCCCCATTCTCTTTTACATGCCCTGGTTCTGTTTTCTTCATTCCCATCTTTCATTTTGGAAGCCTAAGAGGTGGTATGGAAATACCTGGAGAGTTGAGATGCTTACCACCATAAAGGGGCTTGCAAATGTGAAGCTCAGCCAGCTCTCTCTGCATCCCCAGATACAAACATAGGGAGTTCAGAGCAGAGCCTGGGGAAACTGTGGCCCTTATCCTTGGGCCCTCACCAACTGGCCTTAGGAAAGTCTTGGCCTCCTGTGTTCCAGGGTATGAGGACTAATGTAGGGCTGGAGGGCAGGGATTAGCCCTAGAGAGTCATCAGGAAACACAATTAGCACCTGTGACTCAGCTTCCTCTCCTTACTTATGCCTCAGCATTGATTTTACCTGGAACGATGTTTCTTGTTTGATGGTATGGTTGCGTCTACCTGCCCCAACCCATAACCTAGCTGTTGAACAATTGCTGTCTTAGAGAGCTGGGCTCTTGCTGGTATTCCAAGAGGATGGAAGGTGGAAGGGAGGTTGATCCTTCTCTGACGTTCCTATGCTGCAGAACCCTGTAGCATTCCTGCTGCTGGAAGTGGGAGCCTGGGTTTATGCCAGACTTTGATTCCAGTCTTTTGCTACACATGCTCCAAAGTTCTACCCAAATATTAGAAACTGATTAAGAACACACAGAACTGCACACATCATGCAGGTCCTTCCAGCCATTGGGAAGGGTGGTGAGTGACTTCCCTGGGTTTGCTTTGGAATGGAGGAGCCTGGGGAATTGGCTGCTATTTTCTCTCGAGGGAGCTTTGCAGGAGCAGC